GCGGGCGAGGGGCTGGCTGAGAGGCTGAGAGGGCAGCAGACACCCCTCCTGCACCACCGGCCTCACCTGCTTTCCCAGGCTCACCCCAACCGCTACCCGCGTGGCACCCTCCCTCTTCAGAACCTTCCCTTCATCGCTGCATTAGCACCTAACTCTCTAGGTCGGCATAGAAGTCAGTGGAAAGTTCCTTGCCCAGAAATGGAGGGACGGATGATGAAACTCCAGGAAACCACAGCTCGTCCCCTGCCCAGGCACCCAGCCAAGGGCCAACCTGCTAGGCTTGGGACCTACTTCTGGCCTTACTACATGCCCAGAGACCTTGGACGAGTCACTGACCATGGTCCCATTTGTTCAGTTGTAGATGGGATGCCAGCTGCACAGCCACACCCCTCCGGGCCGCCAGGAGGCAAGAATGAGCTGACAGGTGCAAAGCACTGGTAAGGTTTAAAAATGAATCATCTGTACAAATGTACATGTTGATGGTGGTTCAGCCCAGCTAAAGGTGCTTCTGCTTAGAGGAATCCAACACATGAATATTCAGACACATACATTGTTGCATGATTCGAAGAGCTGCTTCTGTATCTTGCTGAAAATATGATTCAGTTCACCAAAATACAACACTGTGCTCACGTTTTAAAGGGAAACACGGAAGACACAGCTTCTGTAATTGAACTCTGTGTGTGCCTCAGTTGTATTCCCGAAAGGAGGCCTGTGGCGGACAGGTCTACAGTCCCTTTGGTTTAGGATTATAAGGGAGATTGTCTTAGTAACTGTGCTCCTGCCCCTTTAAGAACAGAAGTTCCTTTAATTGCAGATAAGCAGGAAGTGCCCCTACTCTATCTGGGCTGTGTGTTTCACTTCCTTTCAGAGGTGTTTTCTTACTAAAGAAACCCCAAGTTCAAGGTCACGTCTATTTCTTTCAAAGGCAGACTCAACTGCCTTTGTGTTAGTTTCATGAAGTTTCTGGGGCAGGAAAATACACATTTTTTTCTTTTACTTTTTATTTTTAAATAGCCTTTATCTTTTAGAGCAGTTTTACCTTCACAGTAAAACTGAGCGGAAAGTACAGAGATTTCCCATATGCCCCTGCCTGCACATGTGCACAGCCTTCCCCATTATTTACACAATATATTTTTTTAAGATTTTAGTTATTTATTTGACAGAGATCACAAGTAGGAAGAGAGGCAGGCAGAGAGAGAGGGGGAAGCAGGCTCCCTGCTGAGCAGAGAGCCCAATGCCGGGCTGGATCCCAGGACCCTATCCCAGGACGCTGGGATCATGACCTGAGCCGAAAGCAGAGGCTTAACCCACTGAGCCACCCAGGTGCCCCATTATTTTTAAAATTATAGAAAAGATGAAGGTAAAACATAAATGGTATTTGAAATATTTTTAAATATAGAAGTAATACATGCTTTCAGTAAAAATGCAAGTGGTAGAAGATTCTCCATTCCCCTTCCCCAGAGGTAACTTCTGTTAATAGTTCTTAAAATTCTGTTCTGGAAATTGTCTCTATAACCTCACTTTCATATTACATGGAGGTAGATCCTACAATATTTAGAGGGTTCCTTTTTTTCTACTTAGGAGTATACTTGAGGAGCGCCTGGCTGGCTCTGTTGGTGGAGCACGCGACTCTTGATCTCAGGGTTGTAGGTTTGAACCCCATGTTGGGTACAGAGATTTCATAAAAAAGACAAAAAAATTTTTTAAGAAAAAAGTATACTTTAGCTATCCTTCCAGGACATCATGAATAAAGCTGCCTCAATCTTTTTCTTGCTTTTTTTTTTTTTTTAAGATTTTATTTAGAGAGAGAGAGAGAGACCGAGCAGGGGCAGGGGTAGTGGGGCTCTATCCCATGACCCAAGATCATGACCCAACCCAAAACCCCAAGATCATGACCTCAGCCAAGACCAAGAGTCAGATGCTCAACCAACTGAGCCACCCAGGCGCCCCTCAGTCATTTTGTAAGAGCTGCGTAAATTTCTGTCGTGTATTTAACAAATCTAATTAACATACACTTAGGTTAATTCTAACGTTTCCTCTTACCTACAATGGAGCTAACTATGGGGAAGCTATGGGGAAAGCTATAGGGAAAAGCTACCGGGAAATCATGGGGAAAAGATATCTGGGTGTGTGCACATGTACGAATATAGAGAGACAAATCTTGGTGTATCTGTCTGAATACGGCCCTAGAAAACATTTCTAACAGTGGAACCACTGGATCAAACTGGAAATGCTGTTTTCATTGTGAGAGCGGCTGGTACCCCTGCAAAATCTTTACCGGTTTACACTTCCAGCAAGGGCAGGCGAGCACTACTCTCACTCTCCTTGCCCAGCCTTCTGCCCAACCTCAGCACTCAACATTTTGGTTTTTGTCTGTCGGAAGGGGGCAGAGAGGGCCTGATTGTTTGATTTGCATCTGAAAGCCTGCTAACCAAGGGCCTTTCCCGCATCAGAGAGGAGAGGCTTCCGGGCCTGACCAGAGGGAGCTGGATGCCATCCCGGTTCAGGCACTTGCCCATAGTGATGGCCACGGCTTCAGTCTTTCCATCTGTAAAACAAGCATCCTGGGACGCCTGGATGGCCCAGTCGGTGAAGCGTCTGCCTTGGCTCTGGCCGTGATCTCAGGGTCCTGGGATTGAGCCCCATAGGTATCCCATTGGGCTGCTCCCCGGGCTTGTCTGCGCACTCTCTCTCTGACAAGTAAATAAGATCCAAAACAAATAATAATTATTAAATTAAAAAATAAAATAAAATAGCATCCTAAGACCAAGACGTGGGGTGATAGAAAGGCTCCAACAAAGCAACAGAAGTAGACAGCACGACAAACGTCAGCGTGTTTCCCATCAAAGCAAAAACAAAAACCAGAAAACCAGATTCCGACTGGCCCAGCCCAAGGCCAGGGAACGGTTTCCGCGACGTGGGAGATCTCCCCTTCGTCCTTGCTGCCCCTGCTTGAGGGAGGAAAATGCAAATAAAATGCTGAAAGAGAAAACTGAAATGATTGCATCAAACAGTTGACGGGACTAGCGAGTGACTGGGGGCGTGGTATATCTCGGAGCCCCAGTTTCTCTTCTGTAAGATGGACTGTCTACTGCACCCACCCCCGTCCCTCAGGGAATTAAAAAGCCCATGGGACAGTGCCCAGCTCCGGCAAGCACTCCGGATGACCTGTGTGGTTATTGCTAGCCATGGAGCCCCCCCCACCCCTGAAGTGCTCAGCCCATGCCCCCCAGCAAGACCAGTGAAGTCCCCTCGATTCTGGATGATTCGCAGCACCTACTAAATGCTGGCCTAGTTGAAGGCCCTTGGGGGCTATAAACACTGCAGTAGGGGCACTGGTTGGAAGGGCAACCTCCAATTCAAGTGCCTTATAAGTGGGGTCGGTGCTGACACGGGGTCCTTCGGTGCCACAGACTCTCATGTGGGTTTGTGCATGGAATTCACCTCCCCCGAGGCTACGTGTAATCCCACCAGTACTGGGGGCTCTGGTCTCAATATTCGGATCTCCCCTAAATTCACCTGTTGCCAGCGTATCCCCCACGGCAGGGATAGCAGGAGGCAGGCCTTGGAGAGGTGACTAGGTCAGGAGGGTAGAGCCTTCCTGAATGGGACCTGCGCTTGCGCTCCTACGAGAGAAATAAACATCTGCTGTTTGTAAGCCCACCCGCATGTGCGATTTCCTCGGGGCAGCCTGAATGAACGAGGACACGGCCACACCACCGAGGGGGCAGAGATGCGGGAAAGAGTGTGTCTCAAAAACAGCTTCACAGTGGAGAAATGGGCAGGTAACACCACCGGGTGATCGAAGTGAACACCCCACCCCAGTAACGGGTCAGGCCGACACCATGCGCGTCCGGATTCAAGAGACAGAGAAGATCTCAGCCTCCCTCGCGTGGGATTCCTGCCAACATGGCCAAGCCCAGATTAATCATCAGGAGACGTCGGACAGTCCTAAATCAAGGGGAATTCCTCAGAACAAGTGGCCTGTCGTCTTCAAAAATCTTCGTGCCGTGGAAGAGCTGGAGAGGCTGGGGAAGCTCTAAATTAAGACACTAAAGGGACACGAGGACTGAATGCCAGGCAGGCTCCTGGGCTGGGATCTGGACCAGAAGGAAAAGTTGTTATAAGGACGTTATTGGGCTAACAGGCAAAAATTGAATAAGATTTGTAGATGAGATGGCAGGAGCGTAGCAATGGGAGGTTTCCTCCTCCTGATCGTTGGACTGTGGCTGTGTCGGAGAGGGTCTTGTTTTCTGGGAGATTGTAACTTACTCTCGGGGTTTAGAAGATACATAGAGAGAATAATACAGCAAATGGGGCAAAATATTAACAACTGATGAATCTGGCGGCAGGATGTATAGGAATTTTTCATTGTAGTTTTGGCAACTTTTCTGTAAGCCACCTCATTATCATAAACAAGCAGGCACCATCCACGGGGCTCACCAGGAATAACAAAGACACTCCTACCACCAGGGAAATGGGAAGGGTTTAGACCAAGGGCAGTCGCATTCCTTCGGAGACAACGCAAAACCAGATCCAGCCTTCTAGCTCTAAAAGGCATTTGTGCCTACGCAGCCGGGAGCCTGCTTCCCCCTCTCTGTCTCTGCCTGCCTCTCTGCCTACTTGTGATCTCTGTCAAATACATAAATAAAATCTTTTTTAAAAAAATAAATAAAAGGCATTTGTGCAAACATCGCTGTAGAGTGCAAAATATGATATTCAAACATTAAAATACCTCCTTCTGGCCCAAACTAAAATTGTGCCCCAGTCTGTAAGCAGACAGAAAAATAGGAAGATTTATGCCCAAATGTGTGCGTTTTCTTTGACCCAAGGACTATGGGTAGTTTAAAATGGGGCGGGGGGGGGGGGTAGTATGTCCGGGAAGCCATTTTCATGAATGAGTAAATTTAGATCTTTGGAAGCCAAGCATGCAGGTTCAAATCTGAGCAATGGATTCTTGGATGACAAAACTAACTAACAAAAAACCATCCACAACAAAACCCAGGCATGCTGCTGTTTACTTAGCCTCAGGAACACCTCCAATACCAAGAATCATCCTTGGGCAAGTCACTTATCCTCTGTGGGCTGGGTTTCTTCCTCTGCAAAAAAAAAATTCATACCAATACCAGGCCTTTTATCTGCATAAGGCTGCTTTAAGGATAAAATGACACAAACGATGAAAAAGTGCATTGACAAAGTTCACAGACACCGGATAAATGTGACTTGTATTACGTAAGGCATTATTGGAGCCCAAGATGTAAGGTGACACCTATAAGCTGGTCTTTTTTTTTTTTTTTTTTCTCCCAACTGTTGTCCCACTGACTGGTTGCTCTGAGCTGGTGCCTAAGCCCTTTGGAGTAAACCACTAGTATGGGGAATTACATTTCCAAAGCAAATATTTGGTGGTTTATCTGGTCCATAGAAGGCGACCCCACCATCTCTTCCCATTCCCTCCCAGAAATTCTACTGGTGACTTTTTCTCATTTGAGAGACACCCCCCCCCCTTCGACAAACTAGGGCCCACAGACATCCAGGAGAGCTTTGCAGACAATCCAGGGAGTCCATAAATTTAGAAAGGAAAAAGATTATATCTTTTCATTCCCCTCAAAGAGCATTAGCCTTTCCTTCGAGAACGCCGGGCGACTCTCTGAGCGTGGGCTGCCCTAACAAAACTCCAGGCAAACAGCAGCTTAAACAACACACATGAATTTCTCACCATTCCGGAGGCTGGGAAGTCCAAGATCAAGGCACAGGCGCATTTGGCTCCTGATGAGAACCTGTTTCTTGCTTGACTTATGGACAGCTGCCTTCCTTCAGACAAACGTTCAGTCCATAATAGCAAGGAAGCTCGCTAGCATTAGCAGTTCCTGTGACTGTGTCAACAACAGACACCACAGATATTTTTATATCTGTTAACATTTTGCAGATATCTACACACTCCCCACTATTTTCAATTTATGCTGGATCTGAGACCGACTATCGGCTTGTGTTATTTAATGCACAAAGAAGCATGGGGATGACTCCATCACAGTGTTTAAAGCTCTTTTGGTAGCGCTTTGGGAATCTAACTGCTTTCATTTATTTAAAAAAAAAATTTACGCATTTACATAATTCTGAGAAAAGGTCTCTGGGCTTCATCAGATTGGTGTGACACAGAAAGAGTTAAGAACCGGAATCTCACTCCGCCCCCAACTCCCCTCCCATTTCCTCTGAACCAGACACAGGGGTGTGAGGAAGTGGGCCTATGATTTACTTTCCTTTCTTCTCTCTCTCTCTTTTTACACCCCCCCTTTTTTTATCGAGGTAAAATTCACATAATATGAAATTAACACTTTGAGAGCAAACAGTTCAGTGACATTTCATACATCACAGTGTTGCCTGGCCCCCCTCCTCTGTCTAGTTCCCAGACATTTTCATCACCCTAAAATGAAACCTTATACCCAGCGGGCAGGTGCTCCCCTTGGCTCCCCCCTCCCCCTGCCCCCTCAGCCCTTGGCCACCTCCAATCTCCTTCTCTCTCTATGGATTTGTCCATTCTGGATGTTCCACATAAACGGAAGCCTGCCACATGTGGTCTGTAGGACCCGGCTTCTTTCACTCAGCGTCTCTCCAGGTTCACCCATGTTGTAGCGTGCACAGACTTCGCTCCTTTTTATGGCGGACTACTGTCCCACTGGATGACTACACTACCTGTCATCTATCCATTCATTCATCCATGGGCATTTGGCTCTTTCCATCTTTTGGCTATTGGATTGGTGTTGCTATGAACAAGAAGATGAGTATTTGTTTGAATACGTGCTTTCGACTGAATCTGTTTGCTAAAGTGAGATTTAGTAACTTAACTGGACGGTCTGTGAATCTCCATTGTCCATGTCACCTTTCCAGTTCAGACAATCGAGTCCCGGCTGTAAATGCCACAGTAAAAGCCTAGAACTCAAGCATCCTTTCCTGGTGTTTCATTTGCCCCGTGTTTGGCCTCTGTGTGAAAAAAAAAAAAAAAAAAAAAAAAGACATCCTCCTCTTCTTGTCTTGGTACACATTTTAACTATGGAATTCCTCCCCAGAAAAGCTTCTGGTGAGTGTAGGCCTCAGAGAGAACTGGAGAAGTGGGCGGAGATGGCAGTAAAGCCTTGCTCCTTCGTGGTCTTGGTACATGCAGGGGAGTTCTGATGTGCAAGGAAGCCAAGAGGGGTAGGCATTCCTTGGACAGGACAAAACCACCAGGCAGGAAGGAAGGGAAGAGAACTGGTGTCCATACTTGCCACCACATAGGGCCCACGCACGTGGAGCCAGCCCTGCAGATGGGAGAGGGTCCAGGTCAGCCAAGGAGGTTGACCTTGGCCTATGTGATCAATCTGGTGCCCACCTGTGCTTCATTTTCCTTATACAAAGCCACCAGCCACCTTCCGCTGATGGTGTGAGAACTACATTCTATTGAAAAGGCACTGACGTCCCCAGAAGCAGTAGCATATTAAAACACCTGAACACTTGCTGATGGTCATTCTGTTTCATGACAGGATAAAAAGTCGAACACTTGTAACCCAGAAGGCCATCAGGAGTGTGTAATGCCTCCCCTTTCAGGATGTGACTTGACCTGCCAATTTTTTGTAACCTCGTGTAATATGAATGACTGGCTGGGAAAAATATTAAGGTAGAGAAAAGCTGTGTGGAACTGCCAGTGTTTCAAGACCAGATTACCTTCACTGCGAGGGCACTGGGCTCAGTCAGATGGGGCAGAGGGCAGACTGAATTTCTGTAATGAAATCATCTGAAAACTGAAGCAGGCCGCTTTTTAATTTATATGATATATGACTATGATATCTGTGTTTCAAAGTTTTAGTGATAGAGAAGTTGGATGGTTTATTGCGATGGGATATAACCTTCCCCTCAGTGGGCCTATGCAACAAAATCTAAGGGCCTTATCTTAGGATTCTAGAACAGCGGAGTATTTAACTGATGTGGCTTGTGAACTAGCCAGTCTGAGTTCAAACCCTGCATCTGGCTTTTGTTGTGTGGTTGTGGGTAAATTATTTATCTCTCCAGAACTCCCTCATCGGCAAAATGAGGAACATAAGAGAGCCTCTGTCGCAGGGCTGTGTAAGGGTTTGGGGAGATTAAACACGGAGAGCTCCCATATATTATTATTATCGTTATTACTTTATTATTGAATCTGCCCCCTGCCTGCCTCTCCACATTATTTCCTGTCATTTTCTCTCATTCTGCCCAAGCCCCCGCCAAACTAAGCTACTCACCGCCCCCTGTGTATGCTGGAAGCTTCTCGGCTGGCTTTTTCTTGCCCTTGCTGTGCATAGACTGAGCAACCACTTGGAGGGGATGTTGTAGAGGCGAATTCAAGCCGCGGGGAGGGAACTGGGTTGAGTGAGATCCCCCTTAAAGTTCCTCTTGGCCCTCAGATTCCATCAGATGGACAAAGTGAGCAGGAAAGTGAGTGGCATGGCACGTTCAACATGCTCGAGAGCTGCCTTTGGCTCCTCTCGACTTCCCCTGCGGTCCCCTGCACTCATTTGTAGCACACTAGCCCAGGGAGCCTTCTGTTACCATCACACTGAGCGCCGGTGGAGCTGCGGCAGGCGGGAGTCCCGGAGACACTCTGGGGTTGGAGACACATGGCCCCAAGGGCCGGCAGAGGCTCCTGAGACAGGCGGGTGTGTTTGATGGCGCGAAGGCTGGCTTAGATTCTCAGAGCTTCAGGGTTTTCAGGAGTGAAAGGCGGGTAGTCGTGCCCACTGCTGAGGGTGAGAATTGAAGTAGGTGTTATAGACAGACAGCCCAAATAGCCCTTCCTGTTGTGGGGCAGGGGGCCTCGGGCAGTGTCTCTAAGGGGATTTACATGAACGGATAGAGATTGCGGGGTCACCGGGGATAGTGGGGCACAGGCAGGTAGGACAGATGGAAGGAGGCCCTGAAACTGAGACAAAGAGGCCTGGTCACTTTCTCCTGTTCCTTTCCTCCTTCTGGGCAGCGCCCTGCACTGAATTTAATAGCTAAAAAATAATAGGACTAATTTTCACGCACCCAGACTTCCGTGGCTGTTTCTCTAGCTTTGGAAATGGCTACACATGTGTCCCAGGCCTACCCAGGAAAGGCAAATAAAACAGGGTGTGCCCTGAGCCCTCTTCCTGGTGCCACCAGGAACCATACAACACTTACGGGCTTTGGAGGAGGGCCACCGTCCAAGGCACGCTCTCTTCTTGGCACGTGGGTGGCCAGGGTCTACAAGCTGTGGCAGGCCGGGCCGGCCGCTGGCGGGTGCTTTGCCCATCTTCTCCCTGAGAGCCCCGAGCTGGGAGTGCACCCTGCTCCCAGCTGCTCTCAACCTTGACCTTTTCACTCGGGATTGAAACCCCCACGGTGATCGTGCCCAGCACACGCTAACCCACTTACAGCAGTAGCTTCGGGGAGGCGGGAGTTACCCCTGACACGTGGGACGTTAATAGTGACAGCTTTGAATGATCTGGGGAAGCAAGCAAGGTGGCTGGAGCCACAGGGTCAGAGCTTGGCCCAGCTGGGTTCTGGGACCTTCCTCACTCGAGCAAGTCAGCTCAACGCAAGGCCATAGCTGTTCATTGAGTCGGTGCCCTCTCCCCAGTGCCGTGGGAAACACAGCAGCCTGTCCCCTCATGTGCTTCCTGATGGTTCTCAGGGGCAGACTTGGGGGACCAGGGGGTGCGGGGTGTGAAGACTTTTATGAACCCCTTAACACAAATAACAGAGTGGCTACCGGCTGAGTTATCACAAGGATGGATCTCTAAGCTCAGTTTCCCCATCTGTAAACTTCTCCTCAAGCGGGGAGGGCAGCAGGGTGGGAGGATGGCAGAAGCAAACATAAAGCACCCGTGACTGTGTCTGACTCTTACAAAGCATCACCCCACGGGGGTTAGTTTTTATGTGCCATGAAACTAACAAAAGATCTCTCTCTTTTTTTTTTTTTTTAAGATTTATTTATTTATTTATTTGACAGAGAGAGAAATCTCAAGTAGGCAGAGAGGCAGGCAGAGAGAGAAGGGGAAGCAGGCTCGCCGCTGAGCAGAGAGCCCGATGCGGGACTTGATCCCAGGACACTGGGATCATGACCTGAGCCGAAGGCAGAGGCTTTAACCCATTGAGCCACCCAGGCGCCCCAAAAGATCTCATTTTTACTGGTACTTTTTAAGAGAAACGATGACTCTAAAAACCTCTAAAATTTGCAATCCTAAACACTAAATATTAACTTTTTTCCTCAAATTTTTATCCTAAATAACAATAATACAAAGCACTCACAAGTGTCATGCACTGTCCTAAGCCTTTAGGGCTCCCTAGGAGCCCAGTGAGGTAGGGTCTTGCAATGATCCCATTTTACAGATGAGAAAACTCAGGCCCAGAAAAATTAATTCACATGGCCAGGGTCATACAACCCTTACAAATATTCTTTTAGTTTGCATTCCCCTTCATCTGCCTCTTCCCCCCTTCCGGCTTCCTCTAGGTCGCCGACTAGGGCCAAGGCAGGCCCAGTCTGGAAGACTCTCTTCTTTTTAACAAGTGGCCGCCTTTTTCTTTCTGTCACTATCTAAACACAACAGGAGGCTGGTTGGTACGGGACTAGAAAAATTCTCCAGGCATTTCCAAATTTCCACTCCTCTGTGTCGTCTGGAGATACAGCTCTGTAAGGCCCAAGTCTTTCTGAGGAAAGGACCTTGGGTTGGTAGTGGCCTTCCTTTGTATCCAGAGACACCAGGGGAGGAAAGAAGTGATTTTTGACAGCAGCTGAGTAAGGCAACATGGAATCAGGAACCTACAGAGATAGTGTTTCGTGCAGCTGCTAGCTGCCACGGGCCAAGAATTCATCCTGCGTGATCTCTAATGGGCTTCCACAGTGAGGGGGACTCTCAGGCCAGTCATCCAGGGTAGGGTCAAGGGGGAGGTGTAACCAAAGAGGTGACATCCTGTTTGGAGAGTAGAATGGCGGCCACCCACCAGAGCATGAACTGGGGAGCCAGACAGTCACCTGCCCCTGGCCCCCCTCCCACCTCTCCCCACAACCAAGAAGGAAGTCAAGTGGATAAAGAAATGGGGAAGTCCGAGCTGAGCTGCTCAGTAGTGGCATTTGAGGGTCTATATAACACTTGACTTTAATCCCCAAGGGACAAAAGCCTCTGCCATAAACATGATCAGCAAGGGGTTTTCTGGAAACATTTCTTCAGGTTGCTGAAAGGGATAAGTCTTGTGCCTACTGCTTTGGGTCTTAAAATAATCTCAAGTAGGTCTTTTCCAACCCGCGGCTCTTTTTGCTTTCATGTGCCATTTGCGGGCCCAGGGCACGGTACTCGCGACTGATTTCGGCGGCAAGGGGGTCACTGGTACTCACAGGCAAGGTGCCATTTTGAAAATTGCTCTTCTCTATCGAAATCTCCCATATTTCCGGATGTAACTTAGAAGTGCACTTCAAAAACATCTTGTGCTGCAAAGGCTCTCTTCAAGACAGAGTGAGATGGTTAAATTTAATCTTTCGATTTCAGAGATGCTGGTATTGCAGTCTTTGGCACTGGACACGAGCCTCCTTAGCAATCGCTTTTATATTTAGCAAAATAAGGAACAGGAAAGTAAAAACTTCCTTATTGTCATGCAGCAAGTCAATAGCAGAGCTTGAACTTGACTTACTTTTCTAAGCCAGGAGGCGTCGTACGCTATAAAATGCAGGTAGATGAACCTCCAACCAGCAAATACTCCGGTTATTTGATTCGGGCGCTCGCTTAAAAAAAATTACAGCGATCAAAAAATGCGCCTGTTACAGTGAGGCAGCTTTTGGGAAAAGAATCACTTAAGGGTGCTTTACTCCCACCCAATTTCAGGAGAAGCCGGTTGAGGAGACAAAGAGGGCCGGGGTGGGGCGAAGGCCCTCGGCCGGCTCGAAAGCTGAGTCACAGGAATCGCACCCCTGCAGTGGGCGAGGCCCTCCGGCGCGGCCACCGCACCCTCGCCTGGGGATGTCCGCACCAGACAAAGCCGGCTTCGCAGTGAGGGAATGCCTGTCCCCCTAGGTACCGGCCAAACCCTCCGTTACCCTGCCCAGTCCCCAAGAGCAGGTCTGCGCGGCTGTTGCAAAAATCCATTATGATAAAATAGACAGGAGGCGGGGGAAACGCATGATGCAGGAAGTGCTGGGGGGAGGGGGCTTTGGCTCCTTTTAATTTTCCGCCGTCGTGGCGGTTAAGGTGCACCGGTGCACGCCGGGCGGGTTCCCCCAAACGCCAGGCCGGCCCCCGGACCGGGCGGAGATCAGGCGCGAAGGAGTTAAGCGGGCCCGCGGGTGACGTCACCTCATTTACATACGAGCGCGCATAAAGTAGCGCGCAGCGCGCCCCACCCGGCATTCGGCGGCGGCTTCTGAGCAGACCGGTCTTCCCTCGCTCGTGCACCGCGCTCCGGTGAGCCCCGGGGCCCCTGCCTCCTGCCCTCGGTCCCTTCGCGCCCGGCGCCCGCGCTCGCCCCTCGGCGCCGTCTCCCTGCGGAGGCGTCCTTACAGCCCAGCCCAGAGGGTCCTCCCGGGAAGCCTGCCTTGGGGCCTAGGGAATGCCAGACCCTTCCAGATGCTGGGGTATGGGGTTGAGAACTCGGTGATTTAAAGACCATCCCCCCAAACCGGGCGTTTGGCCGTGCAGCTCCGAGGGAGCATTTTTCTTATCCTACCTGCTGCCCGCCCCCCCCACCCCGGGCGTTCTGCACTGCCTCTTAGCGGGTGATGAATCGAACAGAAAAATCCTTTGTTCTAACTCCCACCCACCCAAGCCCAGAGCTTTGACAATCAACGTTTTTCCTGTAGTCTCTGATGGCTTCTTGGACTCCTATCTGTCCAGATTTAGGGTGGCTGGGCCATAATGGCGGGGAGGACGGACATCCAACCCTTCTTGCAGGGGAGTGTGTGCCGGGGTTGTCGAATTGCCCCTAAACGCAGATGAGGACGGGTTTTCCGGGTGTGGGGCCGCTTTGTGCGCGGCCGGCTGCATTGTTGGCGCGAGCGAGGCGGCGGTAGGGCGGTGGTCGGGGTGCCGGCTGCTGCTGCCGCCTTTGTGAGCAGAGGAGAAAAGCAGCACGGGCCCGCATTTCTGGGCGAGACCCATATAAACTGGAAGCATTGTGCAGCCTCGGCTTCATTTTAAGAATTCCTACTCGATCCCCCCACCCCCACCCCACTTGACGTGGTTTCACTCTTCTAGCCAGATTTCAGTTTTCGGACATTGTAACTGACACCCACGGTAGTCAATCTCATTGTTCCGAAAGATTCGCCTCCTAATGAGAGGGCGATCTTCCAGTTTGGCCCCCCGCATTTGGAAATAATGAAGAGGGGTTCTTTTTTTGTGTGTAGCAAGAGGACGAGCTGTCGCCTTCGATGAAAGCGGAAGGAGGGAGAGGTGGGGTTTCAGGCGGGGAATGCGAGGGCAGAAGCGCATTTCTGAGCCGGGGGGGACAAGGGTGGATCGCTCGCTCGATCTCACCCTCTCTCTTGGCTTTGTATATGCAGCTTCCTCTGCAACCATGTCTGACAAACCCGATATGGCTGAGATTGAGAAATTCGATAAGTCGAAATTGAAGAAGACAGAAACACAAGAGAAAAATCCACTGCCTTCAAAAGAAAGTAAGCCCCGCCCCCGCCCCCCCCCCCGAAAAATGTTGGGCGGGAGGGAGGATGGGAGGGGCTGGGAGAAGGACCGCGACTGGGAAGGGAGGGGAGTGGGGGGGGTGGGGAACCAGGGAGTGCGGGGGAGGAGCTGACAGTTTTTATGATGAATGTGGCCTGGAAAGGTTAATTAAGAATTGTTTTGCAGCCAACAAACAAGAGGGCTTTAATAATTTAATAATGATGGGATGTTTGGTATACTATATTAATATGAACTATGCCATTTTATCTGTTAAATGGTTTTTTAGTGGTCCTATTTTCACGATGGGATGACTTGATACTTGGATTTTTATGATACGGGAAGATAACTGTAAACGAAAAGTACGATAATCTTACACTTCAACACTAGGCTGTACTGAGTCTGCCTAATGAGCTCCCTCCATCTTTTTTTCTTTTCCTGTCACAGCGATTGAACAGGAGAAGCAAGCGGGCGAATCGTAATGAAGCGGGCGCCGCCGATATGCACTGTACATTCCACAAGCATTGCCTTCTTATTTTACTTCTTTTAGCTGTTTAACTTTGTAAGATGCAAAGAGGTTGGATCAAGTTTAAATGACTGTGCTGCCCCTTTTCACATCAAAGAATGGAGAACTACTGACAACGAAGGCACCTGCCTCTCCCATCTGCCTGTCTGGCTGGCAGGGAAGGAAAAGAACTTGCATGTTGGTGAAGGAAGAAGCTGGGTGGGACGACAGGGAAATGTAGAGTAAAAAATCAAGCTGGTCCAAGGTGTCCTGCAGGCTGTAAAACGCAGTTTAATCAGAGTGCCATTTTTTTGTTCAAATGATTTTAATTATTGGAATGCACAATTTTTTTAATATGCAATAAAAAGTTTTAAAACCTGGTTGGTTGTGACTGGTGTCTGGTGTCTGGAAGGAGCGGCTCAGTCGTACATGAAACCTTTGCAAAAGGGCCATGAGTGGTCTCACTGGGGAACAGTAGATAACATCTGGTAGCTGGGGATAAGATCGGAGAGGACGTCGGAAGGAGTTTCATCTAGGTATGTGAAATCATACCTCATGGGTACTAAGGTGATTGGAAGGTAATATTTTTAGGCTACTTGAATTCCTAGTAGGAGTTGGAGGAAAACATATTTGCAGTTCTTGGATTTCATAGGGCTTGCTAAGCCAACAAAATTGAATGATCGGGAAAAAGAAGGTACTGGTAATTCACAACAGCGTGTTTCAGGTGTCAAACCAAAGTTGGTTATGTAGCCCGTTACCAGCATTGACACAATTAGGATTTAAGCAGTTTGTCATAAGGGAAAAAACAGCTGCTTTGTAAAATTCAGGATGTGCTTCCTGGGCTAATGGCTGGTTCCAACATTCCAAAATTGCTTTCATAAGGTGATCTGTGCACTTAAGATTAATACATAATTTTAAAATTACTGAGTCCTCAATTTGGATGATGAGAACAATCTTTATGGATTTAGAGGACATTAGGACAAGGATGAAATTTGTGTTAAGTTTAAATTCCCTGGGATTTTCATAGGTACATCTCGAGGCTTTGTTGTTGAGGCTGGTAACTTCTCAATTACTTGTTTTAACTGGTGGGCAAAAGCCAAGCCCTTCTTTTGGGACATTTATGCACAGAGGGAAATGAAGTATCAGCTTTTCAAAGGAAAAGAGGTCATTCTACATCTCATAGATGTACTATAAGAAAGGTTGCAAGTATATTTTTTAAAAAATTGAATCCGTTTCCTCCAATGGGAACAATTTAAGGATAACCGTTCACCCAGCATCTCAGCAAATGTCCAGGTGGTCAAACACTGCCACCCCCGCCCCCCCACCCCAAGACTGAAGAAAAGGCCCTTTTGGAGGGAGAGGGTGGAGGGCACATTGTTGATCGGTATTAAACCGCTTGAATTCATTTCCTTTGCTCAACACATATTTTGAGAAATGCACAGGAAACCATTTACCTGTGGTTTAGCCAAGCGACCAGACTGTCAGCTCAAGGCCGATCTGCAGCGAGAGGGAAGGGCTGTGTGCCCGCGGCTGCAAAGTCTGGAAACCCGGAGGTGCCACAGCCTGCCCGCTGGAGAGCTGAGCAAGGAGCATGCAGGCCCGGGAGCCTTCTCAAGATGGAACCGGCCCTCCAACCCTGCTTTTTCTTTTCCCTCCTGCAAGAAAGGGTGTGGGCAAAGTGAAAATGCCTGAGGCACAAAGGAAAACCTAGCCCACATGGGTTTTTGCTGTGTACATTTTTCAGACGAGGCAGAGATGAAATCAGATTTTAAGAAATTAACCCCAGCGTTCTCCAGTTTAAAAATAAAAATGAGCATTAAGGGGGAAAGGGATGATTCATGAAATGAGGGAGAAGACCTTTCTGTGCTGAGAGGACAAAGCTAGATACACAGGGGCGTCCGGCGGGTGGGGGGGGCGGGGTGGGGGAAGAAAAGGAGAAAGTAAAATGAAAAATCTGGTAATGATTGAGTTTGGACTGCATGGTGTGTGGGATGGGGAAATGCAGAAGCTTCGGGGCATATCACCCTGTGCCCTTAAGTGCTGAACAGGGCCACGGGGTGGGGGTGGGGGGCAGTAACTGGGAGGGAGGGGGTCACTTTTTTTTTTTTTTTTAAGATTTTATGAGTGCATTCTTTTTTCTTCCCAAGAGAGGATCTTCTCAGAAGGGCCTGGGGTACTTGGGAATCCATATGGGAATTGATACTGTTAGGAGCTTGGGGTAGACAGTCTTCTTCGCAGACACCAAGGGGCGGGGGGGCTCGGTGGACCGAGGGACTGCTCAAGTTGAAGGAGACCCCAGCCTTCGCATCTTTGACCCTCTCCCCTCCCCCAGGAGGAAGCAGGCCAAGGTTGCTTATGTAAGAGCCGAGGGTCACACAGTCATGTGTAGGGCTTCCGCAAATTTTGAATGGATCAGGCCGAATCAAGCAAAAATAGAGGAAATGAAAAAGGCTCACCAGAGGACTCTTGGGACAGAGAGTCATTCATTTCCAAACCTCGCACATTCCTCAACCATCACCGCCAGGTTGCTTGGTCTTCCAATGCATGGAATTTTAAAGCTACGTAATTCTTTCCGGAGCACAACACCGCTTTGGGGTGTCTGTGCTGACTGTGTGTTGAGCGGGTGGGGGCTGGCAGGGAGGCAGGCAGAGTCTGAGAGCGGAGTCCCCCCTTCTGAACGGGGCCTCTTCCGGCCCGACCACCCCACATCCTCCCCACGCCTTTCTGAGTAAGGCATTGTCTCTTTCGAATGCACTAGGAAGATCTATTTATTTCCCTAAAGAATCGTCTAACTGCTCGACACGCACAACTAAAATTATTTTCTACCCTCTCGAAACGTATGGGGCCAGTTTTGTGCTTACTAAAAAGAACAAGAAATTTTGGAAACAACGTTTTGGCAAAAAAACAAAAAACAAAAGCAAAAACAAAACCTCACACCCTTTCTTAGTTTAAGATTGTAAATTGAAAATATTATTTCA